TTGGCCTCAAATGTTGATCCTGTGGCTGGGATTTAAGAGGTGTCGACATTGATGAAGTATTTGTCGCAGAGTATGGATGATAATTGTTCCCCATATTTGCAAATGGAGAAAAAGATGCCTGTGGAAAGTGAAAATGTTTCGGTTGATTGTTACTAACTCCCTGTAGAGGATATGTTGGATGTTCCCTTTCTTGTTTTATTGCGGCCAAATTAGAAGAAGACACTTGGCTTCCTAGCAATCCATGTAAATCTGGCTGGTGATCCGCCTCATGCAACTTCTGAGAATTACTATTGATTGCCAAGTTGCTTGGATCTGTTTATATCTCCATGCAATAGATGAAATGAAATTTAGGAAGGTAAGAGGGTCAGAACATTCTCACAAAAAATACAAGTGATACATGTTCTATTTATGGTATGTTTGAATCACAGAATATGCTAGGGGATAAGGAAAAGCATTACAAAGGATAGTTATTCTTTTGGGAGTGGTTGAACCATGGGAAATGCAAAAGAAAATGAAACATATTAATGTTTTTAAAAACTTTACATATGTAATATGTTTAGGTTTCTTGATCTTTAAGCAAGAGAAATAGTTACATAAAACGAGTTTCAGAAATATAAAAAAATAAGTTTCTTGTGATTGATGAAATGATTTATCTTCTCCCATTTTAGTTTCGTCTAAATTTTCCTTTGCTCTCTATTTCCTTTCCTTATCATTTTCTGAGCCCAAACATACTCATAAGGAATAGGATGGGACCATTTGATGTTTGCAGATGTTGCTGTATTGAAGTCTGTGACTCTGGTGGAAACTGATTGGGTTGTCCAAACTGTGCCTCTCTTGCAGCCTGAGTCAAGCTTATATTTAGAGGTTAACCAGTAGACTGATAGACTAACAGCGTAAGTTCTGTTGTTTAAGACTCTATTTGATGGGGTCTTTGAAGGGGTTTGGAGGGAAAACCTTCGTAGGGAGTAGAGTCTACATCCTGATTTATATTTAAGATTTATAAAAATTCATCATCATCATTACCCCAGTGCCGCAAAGGCTCCCACCTTCGGTGGGGTAAGGGGGAGTTGGATGTACGCAGTCTCACACCTGTACTAAAGCACGAGAGACCGTTTCGGGATGACCCATAGGCAGTCTAGTGAGTCATTTTGCTTTATTTCATCATATTCCCAAGCCAAAAAATAGCGACTCTTTGGCTCCATTGTAAATGATGGAAAAAAGATTTATAAAAATTAAATGATTACAATAATATGTGAATATTTGACCGCATAACATTTCAATGATCATTTATTTATTTCGCAAACATTCTATTGATCAAGATACGAACTCAGCGCTCCAAAACCCTTCATCCAAACAGATCCTAAATACTTACCTGAGACTGAAATTTATATACAGCCATCTTAAGCATCTGGTCACCTATCAAACTTCTCATGTGTTTAACAAAACCTTCCTTGCTAATTTCATTTCTCTGTATAAACATATCCAGTATTAGAACCTTCAAAGATGAACAGAACATTTACACAAGACATTCACAAAATAATCTGATGTTCATGAGACCAACTTTTAGTTTGATGTATAGAGTTTGGAGTTGCATTCCTCTGTCCTTATCGAGTAGGGGCTGTATGTAAGGGAATAACATGGCAAATGGCACTTGTTTCCCTTGCTGATGTACATTGCCTGCGGAATGGCTCCCCATCATTGAAGCCATTTCTGTTTGGCTGTTCATCCTTTGCTGTTGGCTACTTGTCACAACAGACACGGTATGCTGACCTGATATAGCTGTGCGCATTGACTGTTGAGTATTCAATTTGAGATACTGAGGGTCTGGATTTTGAGTTCGGTTATGCTCCAGCATAGGGACAGTGTTCTTATCAGAGCTCTGCATAGATTTCTCAGGCAGTGATGGTTGTTGAGAAGCATCTTTTACGGAATCATTTTGTTGTTGATTCTCAGAATCTTGACCCAATCGCTTTAGCTCCATCATTTCAGATGAGCTGTTAAATGATTGCTGCAACGAGACATTGGAATCCTGAAGAGTCTGAGGCAATGCATCTTCACCGTGATTGGCGGTTTCCCACTCAACAAACCGGTTTGGTGTTTGAGTGTTCCCGTCTGATAACATAGTCTTGATTAATTAGTTGCGTGTGTACATCCAAACTAATGCTAACAAAGAAAATTTAGAAATTCCTTGACAAAATACTGGGAAATACAAGAACGCAAAGTACTGATATGTAGCCAGGTTAAGCAATACAGTAAGAAATGTGTTTTATCTATCAAATGGGGGATTCCCAGTGAAACTCAAACACTTTTCCAACTCTTTGAGAAAGTAAATATCACAGAGAATTGTAGCTAATGAATAATGGCGAACATGATTCAAAGTAGCTTCCAAAGGGAAGTGGTTTTCTATCAAGTGCTATTAGCCTATTATTCATCATAGAATATAAGTAAAGCTGAACAGGGGTCATACCCCCGCATGAATCTGCAGGATGAGAAGCAGGACCATCTCCCCCTTCGATGTGTCTATTTAGGGCAGCTGTGAACGCCTCCACGTCTGCACCAGAATGCATTGTTTCATCCTGTGGAAACATATAATTCAATCAATCCATTCATCCCGCGAACTTTTATCCCCTCAATATATATAAAAAGCTAGAGAGAGAGAGAGAGAAATAGATGGTATGCAGAAGCGAAAGAAGAATATCTGCCGCATGGAAGGAATGTATGGGCGAGAAAACCTCGTCTTCTTCAAGGAGTTTCATGATTGAAGGGTCCATCACATGCGTTGATTTCGACAAGTATCCTCCAAAGTCCGGCAGGATCACTGGTCAGGGAGTTGATTACGACAAATATCCGCCCATAACTGAATTTCCTCTTCCTGTATGAAGACACTTTCAGGCTATAATGAAAGTCGCTAGAGAATCCAATTTCACAAAATTTTGTAATTGTGAATCAGACCTAGGTGAAGGAATTGATGTAAGAATATGAAGTTATCTATTCAGTCATGTGAAGGAAAGGTGAAGCGAGACGAGATGAGGTGCTGGCGCCTATGGATAGATGAAGGCGGAGACGACAATTGGTGATGGCGTTGCTGGTGTTTAGACTGGTCGGATCAATCCTATGTTTAACGGCCTGTTTGGATGGAGCTTATCAGCTTAGAGAAGGGTTGGTAATGGAAGGGAAGGGAAGTCTTACACATGATCTTAAGTTGTTTTGAGAAGGTTAAGGATGTTTTTACTAATTTGATGGTCTGATTTGGTCTGGTATGAACAGGTCTGGTCTGATCTGGTCTGGTTTTTTTGTATTTTTATAATTATTTAAGTCTGGTCTGATCTGGTCTGGTTTTTTTGTATTTTTATAATTATTTAAGTCTGGTTTCGTCTGAACTGGTCTGGTCTGATCTGATCTGAGAGGAATTACAGTCTAAGTAAAAATATTCTAAAAAGGGGTAATTTGACTTTGATCCCCACATTTTGGGTGATATTGAAATTAGCACACCATTTTTGAAAACTTTGACTTAGCATCCCATTTCACTTAAAAAATCATTTGATTTTGCACCTCATTCACAAATTTCTTTTACAAAATGTTATGTGATAAGGTCCAAAATCAAAGTTTTTTGAAAATGATGTGCAAAGTCCAGTATCCTCATACTTTTTAAATTATTATTAAGAATCCATAATTGCATATAATGGTATATATGCTCCTTAATGTTACTACTCCGTACATATATTATGCTATTAATAATGGGATAAAGGCTAAAATTGACACTAAAGTTTTTAATGAAGTTCAGATTAGACACTAAAGTTTTAAATAGACCAAATAAACACAAATTTAAACTTTTTGATTCCATTTTAGTCACCCTTAACTGCTCCGTTATTTTATCTCGTCTCAACCTTCCAAGATCCCCTCACCCTTTCTTCTTCGACCTTCGTCTCAACCTTCTCCACCCATAGCTTCTTCCATCTAAAAACCTTTGCTTCCCGGAGCCCAAGAGAACAAGGGCATCGACATCCACTCATCCAGAAAAAGAAATTAGTGCTACCCAAGTTGATTTCCCAGCCTCACTCCACTCCGGAATGTCTACTTTTCCTTTCCTTTCGTTCTTATCAAGTCATATACAATCCAATCAGTCCAAATTCACTTTTAATAAGCCATATTCAATCCAACCATATCATTATTTTCAACCAAATCAAGGAAAATCATAGTTTGACCATCAATTTCACATATTGTTGTTTCAAAATAGAATATTTTTAGAAAATTACTGAAGAAGGATTAAGTCCCCAATCTAAGCCGATGAAATGGAAATTATTTACAAACAAGAAGGAATCCAGACAGTGAATTCCTCCCTTACCATTGTTTGTATTGCTATTTCCAATTCTGAGTGCAAGCGGCTAGTCTTTCAGGTTAGCTGGAGCCAAAAAATGGTTTTGGCCGAAGAGAAAAGATATGTGGTGAGTTTTGCAGGTCCACCGGAGTCTAAACAAGCTTTTGGGCAAAGAGGGATGATGTATATTTATGGGATTTGGGTTTTCAAATGTTTGGCCAGAAGATATGGGAGCTGGAGTTGCTTTGGGTTTTGGGGAAGATGGACGGTAATGTCATAACTGACGGGAGAAAAGCATGGGTGTCCAAATATGATGCAAAAACCTCTAATTTGTGTTAATTTGGTCTACTACAATGTTTAGTGGCCAATATGAGTTTCTGGAATAACCTTAATGTCATTTTTGAGCTTTCTCCCTATTAATAATGGTAGGTGTTGCTCCACGTTGACTTGAAAAAATATTGTATGTAAAGTGATAAAAAATAAAATTGAAGTGCTAAAAAATAAAAATAAATTGCTAAAATTAAAATATTCTACGTATGGTATAAATACATATTCTAAGTACTAAATGTTATGTAATGTATAAATATACACTACTCCCTCTTAGCCCAAGCCCATGACTAGGCCCATGTATCTCCCTATATATACCCCTCTATCCCCTACTTGTAGAGACACACGATTGATATAATAACACGTTATCAGCACTGCTCTCAAAAACCGTCCGCCTCATTAAACTATTCGTTCCCCCCTTCTAAAACGCTCTCCGGCTCTCACAAAAAGAGGATCGCACAACGACAATTCAGGGCACTCTTCTTCTTGATCGATTTCCGTCGATCAATTCCCAGGGCCCATCGATCGGTTATTCTTCGTCCAGTCTCCTCAAATATCTCTCTGTCTTCTCCGTCTCTGTGTCACACGTCCTCAGCGAAGATTTGGTCCCTGAAGGCTGCTCTAGCGGAAAAGCTCCAGATCTCCCCTCCTCCTATTAAGTCGCATCAGTCCAGGTATTTCTTCATAATTTCATCACCAACATATATACTATAATCTCTTGCCTGAATCTTTTTCCTTACAAATTGCTTATGAGTAATCTCACAAATTGATTTGATATACCTGACTATTGATGGAATAATTAGTTACCCATATTTTCTTCCCTGTTTGATTCAACTGTGTGTGGCTAGTATCTTCTCTGCTACTGCTTTATTTGCCTGTTTTTCACTATGTTTACTGATGGTGTTTATTATGACAAATAATGAATGAATTACTTTTGGGATGAATGGCTTAAAATCAGAGAAGGATATTTCTTGATTTACTTATAAAAACTGCTTTCATAGTTTCAAACTGTATACATATTAGTAAATGATTAACTATGGGAGCTGATAAAAATTATGAGATCACTCAGTCCAAGTTTTCGGCCTGATAATTTTGTGGTAGTCTAAAAGGTTTCTCTGTTTTTAGGCATTCTGGGTTTTGTTTACACTGATATGCATAAAGTTGAATAAATTAAACGTATGATATATCTAAACATTATTGGAATGTTATTATACTACAATTTACAACCTATTGAGGGCTGCCTGAAAATGAAAGCATGTATAAGACAAGGACAGTGGAATAATGCATATATCCTTTTGCATAAGACATATTATCTCGAAGGTGCAATACTAGCTTTTAACAAACAATGAATCATATCCTTCTATTGTGTGGTCCGTACCATAGATATACTGTGAAGCATAAATCCATTCCATAGTTTAGTGTGTTATAATGTTCCTGTTTGAGTTTCAATTCACAAGTGGCCATTTCTAGGGCCCAGTATTTGACATATGTTCTATCACAATTTGCTTTTACAACTTATTCTACTATATTCAGTTTTCTGTCGTTTCCGATCTTAAGATGTGGATTTGAGGACTAGCTCTCTGTAGAAAATGTATTGTTCACACAAAAAAAAAAAAAAATTGGCACCAGGCTGTCGCAGCTTTCACTATTTTTTGAGCATGTTTAATTACATTACTTCTAGCTTTCATGTTGCCATTCCTTTTGAGCTAGTTGATTAACTATGGTACTTCCTATAATTTAATCGGCTGTTACTTTTAGGCAAAGACTTAAAGAAACTATTTTTCTTATTTAAATAAAGACTTAAATGACATTAATTAGTCAATATTCGTTATAGTAAGACATTTACTCACCAATTTAATGACATTATTGAATTTGGATAAAATATCATATGAATAAAGAATTCAAAATTCAAACTTTTTAGAATTGTATCCATACATAATATTGTGTGATAAGTTGAATGATTCCATAATACATTATGTGAAAATAAAGTAATATTATTTTTCTTTATAGTTATCACTATGTCAAATCTTGCGAAATTTGAATTCGCCGCACTGGACATCAGCGGAAAAAACTATTTGTCATGGGTACTAGATGCTGAAATTCACTTAGATGCCAAGAGCTTAGGTGATACCATAAAAATTGGGAATACCGCATCAAAAGAAAACAAAGCCAAAGCCATGAATTTTCTGAGACACCACCTTCATGAAGACCTAAAGTCGGAGTATTTAACTGAGAGAGACCCCCTAGAACTATGGGAAAACCTTAAACAAAGGTATGACCATCAGAAAACAACCATACTCCCCGCGGCCCGTTATGAATGGACTCATTTAAGGTTGCAAGACTTTAAGTCTGTAGTTGATTATAATTCAGCAATGTATAGAATTACTTCTCAGCTAAGGCTGTGTGGAGAAAAAATAACTGATGATGAAATTCTTGAGAAAACATACTCCACTTTTCATCCATCAAACAGTGTTCTGTCCCAACAGCACAGACAAAAGGGGTATACAAAATATTTTGACTTGATGAATCAATTACTTGTTGCTGAGAAAAATAATGAGTTGATCCTGAAGAATCATCAAACTCGCCCCACTGGTTCTACCCCAGCACCATTCCCTGAAGCGAATGCGGTGACTAATAATAATAGCAATAAGAAAGAAAGAAGCCACGCTAGCAGTCGTGGTCGGGGGCATGGGCGAGGTCGAGGTAGGGGGAGTCACCATGGCAACCGTGGTGGTCATACTCATCGAGGTGGTTATAGAGGTGGTCGGGTCACCCACTTCAAGGGCCCATCTCGCCACCAGAAGTGGCAGAAAAATGAGAATTATGGTAAGGGTTGTTCTCAAAAGACAGAAAATACATGTTTTCGATGTGGAGCAAGAAATCATTGGTCGCGTACCTGTCGTACGCCCAAGCATCTAGTGGAGCTCTATCAGCAGTCATTGAAGAATAAAGAGAACAAGGTTGAGACAAATTTTGCCTTTGATGATGATGACCTCCTTGACGAACCTGAAAGCTCAACCCATTTGGAAGTTGGTGATTTTCTAGAAGAAAAACACTGATTATTTTCTATGTTTTGGCATTGCACTATTTTCATTTACTGGATTGGACTTTATTTATTTCAGTATTATGTTTTAAATCGTTTACGTTATGGATCATGTTATGATCTATGCAAAGAACTTATCATTTTGTTTTGATGTGGTTAGAATAATTTACATAGACCTTAATTTTGATGTGCACATTATATTTGACAATTTTTCATCGTGGACACTTTATTAACATGATTCTTTTATTATTGATTTAGATAATTTTAATTTATAGTGAAAATGGACACAAATGTTGTCCAAATTACTATGAATGGTGAAGAATTATGCCTTGCTGATAGTGCTACTACGCATACAATACTTAGAAATATTCACTATTTTTCAGAGTTAAAAATGCAAAAGGCAAATGTTAACACCATTATTGGTGCTAATAAATTAATAGATGGCTCCGGAAGAGCCAATCTCGTGTTGCCCGGAGGTACAAAATTCCGAATTGATGATGCATTATATTCCCCCAAATCTAAAAGGAATTTACTAAGTTTTAAAGATATCCGCCGAAATGGATATCATATTGAAACAACCAGAGAAGGAGATACTGAATATCTCTACATAACCGACAAAACTTCGGGTATTAAAAGGGTGTTGGAAAAATTACCCGCATTTTCATCTGGATTGTACTACACCAAAATTAGTACAATTGAATCGTATATGACCATAAACCAGAAGTTTATGGATCATGATAAGTTTATTATTTGGCATGACCGGCTAGGCCATCCCGGATCAACAATGATGCGAAGAATTATTAATAACTCATGTGGACATCCACTCAAGAATCAGAAGATTCTTCAAACCAATGAGTTATCTTGTGTTGCTTGCTCTCAGGGAAAATTAATTACTAGACCTTCACTGGCTAAAATTAGAACGGAATCACTTTCCTTTCTAGAACGTATTCAAGGTGATGTATGTGGGCCAATTGACCCACCATGTGGACCATTTAGGTATTTCATGGTTTTAATCGATGCATCGACTAGATGGTCACATGTGTGCTTATTATCGACTCGCAACCTGGCGTTTGCGAGATTACTGGCTCAATTAATTAGATTAAGAGCGCATTTTCCTGACTATCCAATTAAAACTATTCGCCTTGATAATGCCGGTGAGTTCACCTCCCAAGCTTTTAATGATTATTGTATGTCCATCGGGATAAAAGTAGAGCATCCTGTAGCACATGTTCATACTCAAAATGGTCTCGCAGAGTCACTAATTAAACGACTCCAGTTTATTGCAAGACCATTACTTATGAGATGTAAACTCCCTATTTCAGCTTGGGGGCATGCAATTTTACATGCGGCAACGCTAATTCGCATCAGGCCAACAAGTTATTGTGAATCGTCTCCCCTACAAATGGTTTTGGGTAATGAACCAAATATTTCCCATCTAAGAACATTTGGATGTGCCGTGTATGTACCTATTGCTCCACCACAACGTACTAAGATGGGACCCCAAAGAAAGTTGGGAATATATGTTGGCTATGAATCTCCTTCCATAATAAGATATTTAGAGCCATCAACGGGGGATTTATTTACAGCTAGATTTGCTGATTGTCATTTTAATGAATCAAATTTCCCAACATTAGGGGGAGAAAGAAAGCAGCTGGAGAAAGAATTATGTTGGACTGTAGCATCATTATTACATCTTGATCCTCGTACTAAAGAGTGTGAGATTGAAGTCCAAAAGATAATACATTTACAAGGTTTAGCGAATCAATTGCCAGACGCTTTTACTAATACTAAAGGAGTGACAAAGTCACTAGTACCAGCTGCCAATGCTCCCATTAGACTAAATGTCCCAGCAGGACAAGTCGTTGCAAATGAATCAAAAACGCGCATGAAGCGTGGAAGACCAATCGGTTCCAAAGATAAAAATCCTCAAAAAAGAAAGGGAGCAAAGAATGAAAATGGCCAAGAAGAGGATAAAATACACTTGAGAGTAGATTCTCCTGAAGAGAACATTAACGTAACTACAAATCCAGAAAAGGATCGGGTACCTGAAAATGAAGAGATCTCAATAAATTATGTCACGACAGGAATTGTTTGGAACCGACATGAAATCGACGTCGATGATGATGAAGAAAATGATATTTTTGCATATCATATAGCGCTAGATATAATGAATGAAAATGAGGATCAAGAACCAAGAACAATGCAAGAATGTAGACGCAGAGATGATTGGCCAAAATGGAAAGATGCAATTGAGGCTGAATTACAATCACTAGAAAAGCGAGAAGTCTTTGGACCCGTGGTTAAAACACCTGAAGATGTTAAACCAGTGGGTTATAAATGGGTCTTTGTGCGTAAAAGAAATGAAAAGGGTGAAATTATCATATATAAAGCCCGTTTAGTTGCACAAGGATTTTCACAAAGACCCCACATTGATTATGATCAGACATATTCTCCTGTGGTGGATGCTACTACTTTTAGATACCTAATTAGTCTGGCAATACGTGAAGGACTAGATTTACGCCTCATGGATGTAGTGACAGCCTATTTATATGGCTCGCTTGATACTGATATATATATGAAACTTCCGGAAGGTTTTAAGCTGCCTGAAGCATGCAATAGAGGTTCTCGAGAACAATATTCTATTAAACTAAACAGATCTCTATATGGTTTAAAACAATCAGGACGTATGTGGTACAATCGTCTAAGTGAGTACTTATTAAAAGAAGGGTACAAAAATGATGATATATGCCCATGTATTTTTATTAAGAGATCTGGTGAGGAGTTTGTCATTATTGCAGTTTATGTTGATGATCTAAACATTATTGGAACTCCTGAACAACTACAAAAGGCAGTTGAATGTTTGAAAAGGGAATTTGAAATGAAGGATCTTGGGAAAACCAAATACTGCCTGGGATTACAAATTGATCATTTAGATAATGGTATCCTTGTGCATCAAACAACCTATATAGAGAAGGTGCTTAAAAGATTTTTAATGGATAAGGCACATCCTTTGAGCACCCCGATGGTTGTAAGACAACTTGAAGTTGATAAGGACCCATTTAGACCGCACGGAGATGATGAGGATATTCTTGGTCCAGAAGTACCATACCTAAGTGCAATTGGAGCACTAATGTATCTTGCAAGTCACACAAGACCCGATATATCCTTTGCTGTAAATTTATTGGCAAGATATAGTTCTTCTCCAACGCGCAGACATTGGAATGGGGTCAAACAAATACTTCGTTACCTTCAAGGTACGAAAGACATGGGTCTATTATTTTCTAACATGTCCAAAACAGAATTGATTGGTTTTGCAGATGCAGGTTATTTGTCTGATCCTCATAAAGGAAGATCACAGACTGGATATATGTTTACATGTGGAGGAACAGCAGTCTCATGGCGTTCCATGAAGCAAACAATTGCGGCAACATCATCTAATCATGCAGAACTATTAGCCATTCATGAAGCCAGTCGAGAATGCGTATACTTAAGAAGTGTAATTCGGCATATTAGACAGTCATGTGGATTATGGTCTGAAAAGGAGCCTCCGACCATCTTGTTTGAAGACAATGCAGCTTGTATCCACCAACTTAAGGAAGGATTCATCAAGGGAGATAGGACGAAACATATTTCACCAAAATTTTGGTATACACATGACATTCAGAAAGAAGGTGAGATTATCGTTCAACAAATTCGTTCGAGTGACAACGTTGCGGATTTATTCACCAAGGCTCTTCCAACAACAACTTTCAAGAAGTTAGTGCACCTGATTGGATTACGTCGACACAAGGATCTTGAGTAATATATTCATTAGGGGGAGTAAATACGCGCTGCACTCTTTTTTCCTTACCAGGGTTTTATCCCACAGGGTTTTCCTTGGCAAGGTTTTTAATGAGGCAGCATCCTTAAACGTATTTTTTAGTAGTGTATATTTAAGGGGGAGTGTTATGTAATGTATAAATATACACTACTCCCTCTTAGCCCAAGCCCATGACTAGGCCCATGTATCTCCCTATATATACCCCTCTATCCCCTACTTGTAGAGACACACGATTGATATAATAACACTAAAAATATATATGGATCGACACTACATACTAAACTAAACCCCCAACTTTTTAATTTATTTTTATAAGTCACGACACTCAATTTCAATTCTAAATTACGATTCTTTACCGAATGTGAAATATATCACTCAAAAAATATGAGCAAAATAAGTTTCATATGATCAAATATCAATACAACCGTTCCAAACGAAGCAAGAGTAATGCAATGTCAAAGTGCATAAATTGTTTGAACGTCAATTGGCTAGTTGATGCCATCATGTCATAAGGAAGATAACTTCAACTTTCAACTAGACATCCAAGAAGAGCCCTCAGCATATAAGGGGAACAAGAAACATATAGCTAAATGATTGATAACTGTAGACTAGTTAATGTAATATATATTCCTTTTGTACGTAGAATTTTATTCTTTCCTGGCTTAGACTGGTCTCATTAGGATAGAAGCAAAGCATTCAGGGAAAATTCCTTTTGTACACGCCAAGTTTTACACCCCGGGTTACACGTCTGTCAAATTGTTTGTGTACAGACAATTTGATTGACTACACAGACATATTGAGCGGTGATTTACGAAGAAAACTGATTTTCACACAGACAAAAATAAAAACAATATCTGTATCACAGACACTTTATGAAAAATTCAGGTTTAAAATGTTTGTGATACAGACAACTCTTGATATTTTGTCTGTATGGAAATCGATTTTCTTCATAAAACGCCGATCAAATTGTATGTCTAGCCGATCAAATTGTCTGTATACAAACAATTTGACCGGCGTGTAACCCGGTGTGTATTTATGCTAAAAATAAACTAATCTAAAATTGAAATAGGAATCGAACAAGTATGAATCGATGACCGGATGAACAAAGATGTAAAAATATAAATCTAGTATGATAGAGTGTTTCGAACTGATAAGAACTGCTTGAATACAATATTGTGTTCTAATATTTCCAATTGATTCTCTTCCCTTTATATTGTAGCTCTCTATTTATTCTATTACTAAGTAGCACTAACTTCAACTGCTCCGTCAAAATAGGTGGCACTACCTACATAATAGGCTCTCCTTTGTTATTATCCATTCTTTCAGCATTTATCTTCAATTTG